TCATTAAAATTAATAAAATTTAATTTAAAAAAAAGAAATACAATGTTGTGACAGAACAATATCCCTATGCATACAAAGAACTCCCAACAATACCACCATCATTCAAATATATGAACCAACAAATGGTTCTTAGTCACCTTTAAAGCTAAAAACTCATTCTTATAGCTCAACTTTCATCCAACAATAAACAAGCATAGAAGGGGACCAGTGGCACCTGAGAGGCACTCACTCCTAATAATCAATCATGTGGGGTCTGAAGACCAGTATTTGCCCAACGATAAAATCCTGAAGAAGAGAAGGTGTAGGCCAGAAGGACTCATGAAAATGAGAATCATAAGGAAGAGGTTGTGAAAGTACAACTACACTGTAGGGCTTACAATAAATGTTATAAAGCAAAATATGTATGAATGGTTGAATTAAAAACCAAGATACTCTGTAAGCTTTCACTCAAATCACAATTAAAAGTGTACTGAATGTTACAAACATCCAAATTATTGATAAAGTATATGTAAAATATGCTGTTGTTGTTGTTCTTAAGTGCCATGGAGTTGAACATAACTCATAACTACCCTATGAACAAAAGACTTGATCCCTGTTCTATAACTACCATCATTTCTCTAAGTTCATAGAGTTTCCAGAGGGAGGCATGTTGCTTAAGAACTGGATGTACCTTCTGCAATATAAAAAGAAATAAAGTAAACCTTCCTGAACTTCCCTCCCCCAAAAGTGAGCCTTTGCAATTGCTTCATAGGCCATTGTAAAGTTTTGCATTGAGGAGTGGCACAGGTATCAGAGGAGTCATTCTGGCTAAAATATTGAGAACTGACTGCAAAAGACACAAGAGTGAGGGCTGGAAGGCTACTGAAATCATCTAGACAATAGAAAATGGTGGCTTGGACCACTGAGCTGATCGATTGATTGATCAATAGATAAACAGGTATACACAAACACATATCCTTGGTCATATTTTAATAATGGTTCTCACATAATTTACTGATGGATTGGATTTGAGATTAGAGATAAAGATATAATTTCAGATTTTTGACCTGAGCAACGAAGATGAGTAGTCATCTTTTAAGTATGGGGTAAAGAACCTATTAACAAGCCAGGGGTTGGAGTTGGGGGCATTGTTGTTGTTGTTGTTGTTAGGTGCCATCAAGTATGACTTATAGCAAACCCTCTGATCAAAAGATCTGAACCCTATTCTATCCTGTGCCATGCTCACACTTCATGACATACAAGAGCCCACTGCAGCAGGCACTGTGTCAATCCACTTAGGTGAGGGTTTTCTTCTCCTTGGCTGATCCTCCACCCTTCTCAGCATCATGACCTTCTCCAAGGAATAGCCCCTCCTAGCAACATGCCCAAATATGTGAGGCAAAGTCTCATTATTCTTTTCTCCAAAGAGCACTCCAGCTGCATCCTCTCCAAGTCGTATCTGTTTATTCTCTTAGCCTTCCATAGGATGTTCAGTGCTCTTCTCCAACACCCCAGCTCAAAGGCATTAATTCTTTTTCTGTCATCCATATTCACTGTCCAGTCCTTGGATTCATAGCTAGTAATTGGAAAGACTATGGCCTGAATCAGACACACCTTAGTCCTCAGTCTGACATCATTACTCCTCAATAATTTGAAGAGGTCTCTAATTGCAAATTTTCCCATTGCAATCCATCTCCTTATTTCCTGACTGCTAGTATGAAGGATGTTAATTGTGGACCCAAGCAAGATGAAGCTGTTGACAGTTTCAATCTCCTCTCCATTCATCATGACACTGCCTATCAGTCCAATGGTAAGAATATTTGTTTTCTGGATATTGAGATGCAAACCATACTAAAAGCTGCATTTCTTGATCTTCTGCAACAAGTGCTTCAGGTCATACACCCCCAAATTAACCACATATTGGAGTTAAAATGAACTACACTTAAACTATCATGTGTGTGTGTGCGTGTGTGCGCATGTGTGTGTGTGCGTGCGTGTGTGTGTGTGCATGTGTGTGTGTGTGTGTATGTTTATGCATCTTATCATTAGTCAATCTTCTGAAGAGGAAGTTATGGGGAAGTGCCTAGAACACAGAAAAAGTGCTGAGTTTTGTGAATACAAAAATGCTCTGAGCATTTGATCGGAATAATATGATGGAAGAGACTGTTGGAAAATCACCTCTAAAATAAGAATGCTGATTTTACAGCTTGGTATCAACAATGTGGAAGAGCTCAAAGATCACAGGTGAACTGGTGAAGTGACAAGATCAAGATTTGAAGAGGAAAGAAATACGGAAAAAGGAACTAATACAGAAGAGGAGGAGATCATCAAAAAAGTTAATTGTAAAAAGATTAGCTGGAGCTGTTTCTAAACTAAACCAGGGGCTTCTGCCACTTGCAAACATGGACTCCAGTTTTGTCTGCCAGGCTAACAATGACACAGCACATTCAGGAAGCAGTGAGATGTTACTACAATGTATGTGAAGGGGAAAAACTTTCAAAAAGAAAATTCTCACTAATTTTATCAGTAGAAACACCATTCTCATCCCCAGGAATAATCCAGATGATAAAAAAAATCTCCCACATTGGCATGATTACTGTAAATGACAAAACCCCAACATCACCTAACTCTTCATCAGAGCAAATTTTTATGATCTGAGTATTTTTTTCTGTATGCATTAAGTAAACTTGGTAGGTTTAGGTACAATGTTACCAAACTTCAAAGACAAATAAGGGTCAAATGTATAAGTAAGTGCATATTATAAGAATAATAATAAAAAGTTTAACATTGTATTTTTTTACCTATGTCAGATATGCCTTAACACAGTAGTCATAACAGAAGCCCATCACAACGTGAGAACTTTATATGTCACAATCGACATGTTTATTACTATTCATTGATATTCACTCTGAAAGAACTATCTACTTACATCTTTTCCAATTAGATCTCTCTGGTTCTCAATTACACCCCAAGGAGGGATTCCAACTGTCCAGATTTTTCTCAGCGATTGAGAGCAATGGGCTTTCAGAGCATCACCAACGTGCTTGGATACTCCTGTGGACAACCAGTGGAGACGTCAACCTCTAACTCACATACTGCAAAACACAGTGGCCGCTAGAAAGAAATAAGCAAGAAAGTGCAGGCTTCCCCTGCTTCCCAAAGCAGAGCGCTCCTACGATGCCTCCCGGAAACTGAAAACTATGTCAAGTAAGAAGCAATTAACATTTGTTTGTATGGGAAACTATTTTCAAGCATTCCTATATTCAATAAATAGCCTACCAAATCATACTAAATAACACATAAAACTGAAAATAGCACTAATATGCTGTTATCCCAGTCACAGCTCAAAGTAATGGGGCTTTGACACTGAGTGTAGCTTCTGGGAAGTCGTCTGGAAAAGCCACTCTGTTCAGAGTGCCATCAAGCAAACACTGGATGCGAATTCTTCCATGTCTTTGTCATAAAAGTGAAATTCCTCTGGATTTCTTTCTGCTAACAAAATCAGGTAACAACCTATTTTATAAAAGTGAAGTGGCAGAGGGGTGAGGATAGGGACGGCGCTTAATCATAGGGTCACATAATGTGATGGGTAAAAGGAGGAATGGGTGAAGGAAAGGAGAAAGATCCAGTGTAAAAACAATGTATACAAAATTTCTTAGTAAACCAATAGAAAATAAAAATTAGATTTTAAAAAGGTGAAATGGCATAAAGCAAACTTGAAAAGTGGAAGATAAAGGCCAGTTGGGACAAATTGCTGTTACAAAGGAATTTGTTTCTGATGTCTTGTCTATATCTGCTCTTCTCAACACTTCTTTTTTGATAAAATTTTTAAACACTTCTTTTATCATCTTCAACATCTGGAAATAATCTTCTCTTTAGGGGTATTTTCTATTTAGAAATTAAGCTGTGACACTTCTCTGACCAGAATACCCTCAGCATTGTGCCCTCTGAGCAGGGCCAGGTCTGACTCCATAACTGTCAAAAATATGTTTCCCCTAATCTTTACTATCCCAGCAAAACATGAGGATATGGGCTCCTGGCTTCACTGAAGGGCAGACGTTCAAAGGCAAATCCTGAATCCCATCAGTGCAGGTCTGGGCTGGGGTTTGAGAATCTTTGTTTCTAACAAGCTCCTGAGTAACCAGGCCCTAGAGGAGCTGTGGCTGAATCTCCTCAGAACCTGACTACTGGCCAAGGAAGCACCCAGGATTTCCTCTTTTTTTGCTGTTGTTTATAGGAAAGATTTACATATTCTCCATACTGTTGTATTTGTATTATTTAATGTCCTTAACTCCTGAATATTTGTCTAACATACTTTGGACACATTGCAAGGAGGGACCAGTCCTTGGAGGGGGACATCATACTTGGGAGGGTGGAGGGTCAGTGCAGGAGAAGAAAACCCTTGATGAGATAGATTGATTCAGTGACTTGTATAATAGGGGTAGGTGTGTTAGAGACAATAAGATTGGCACAGGATAGATCAGGGTTTAGGGCTGTTGTACATAGGGTTGCTATGAGTCGCAGGTAACGCGACAGCACATAACAACCACCTTAGGTAGCTCTGGTGGCCTAGTTGTAAGAAACTGTGCTGCAATCTCAAAGGCACAGAGTTCATATATACCAGCTTCTCCACATAAGAAAGATGGGCAATTTCTCCTGTGCAATTAACCATCTCAGAAATCTGCTGGAGGGTCAGTATGGGTCAGTTCCGACTCAGCGGTACACAACATCACACAACAACCTAAAAGTTAATTCAGCACCTAGAAGCAAAAACCTAAAATTGAAAAAAGAATAAGAAGTAAGGGGAAAAAATGGCACATTAAACATGAATGCAGTTAATTATTCAAAGAAAAATTCCTTTACTAAGTGTACTTTTTCTGAACTCTATGAACCTTCCCTACCTCCTTTCCTTTTTTTTTTTACTGGAAATAAAATAACAAGTATACAATGGACTTAGAACTCTGTCACTTTCATTTGCCTCTGAGAATGTGAAACAATAATTATCTCAATAAAGGGTACAAAATGAACTACTGGGTTATCCATTAGTGACAGGAAAATCCCTAGGCTTTATTATGCTCGGTGAGGTTGCTTTTGGGGGTGTTGAAGGTTTTTTGGATTTTGTTTTGTTTTCTTTTCTCCCTTCTCACCCTGCCAGGTACCAATTTAGACTGAATTTTCTGAATTATCATTCAGACTTCAAAGAAATTATTTGTTGGAGCTCTGGTGGCCTAGTGGCAAGAAGCTGCACTGCAATCCCAGAGATATGTGGTTCGAATCCACCAGACACTCTGCCAGAGAAGGAGAGGCCATCTCCTCCTGTACCAGTCAAATCCAATTTGACAGTACACACACACACAGAAAATAAAAAAATAAAAAAGAAATTATTTGTTAAATGGGAGTGTGTTGCTAAGTGTTCTAAGGCCTGTCCCCTCACTCAAAACTAGTCAGGAGAGTTATTACACACACACACACACACACACACACACACACAGAAAAACACAGCCACAAACACAGAAAGACAGACACACACACACAACCTGCCAGGGAATACAATGAAACCTGAGAAATCTGGAGCCTGTGTAAGGTAGAAACCTGTAAGAGAAGGAAAAACTTTATTTAGAAAAGTAATAAGACTATACTTGGGTAAATGCTGAGAACTTGTGAGACCCAGAAGAACTGATTTCCGCTCTCATCTCATGGGTTCGTTGTGTATAAACATCTTACAAAGACATCTAACAAAGAATGTAAGTAGTATAATCTGTAGCATTTCTGAGACAAAAGTAAGCACTTCTAGTTGTGATGCTTCATGAGTCTTAAAGGAGAACTGGTGGTATAGTGGATAACCAGTTAGACTGTTAACCAGAAGCTCAGGGGTTCAAATGTACCAGATGCTGTTCAAGACCAAGATGGGCAACCTCATCCCACAACAATTCACAGTTTGGAAAGCTGACAGAGGGGTCAATATAAGGCAGAAGCAACACAAATTGACAGCAGTGGTAATACAGATCTTAAAGGAGGAGAACGGAATATGAGACATTGACTATTTCTAAAGAAAGAAAATTAAAAAGAAAAACTAAAGAGAAAATGAAAAGTTATAACTGATTGCTAAGTGATTTGGGGAGTCAATGTTTCCAACATCAGCTGCACACTGGACTTTTTTCAGGAGCTCCAGCCTACAAGAATCCAATAAATTTGGGATTGTGTTTGTGGGGGGTGTGGTTGGACGGGGGGTCTGTGTTTTCGTTTCTGTGTCTTTCTGTGTCTTTGTCTGTGTCTGTGTGGGGGTGTGGTTGGAGGGGGGGTGCGCGTGCACACACACACTGACTGGATTTGTTTGTTTGGGTTTAAGCTTCTCACTGATTCTAAAGTGCAGGCATTTAATCAACACCAGTGCAAAAGGGTAAGGTTGGAATTTAAGGTGTCACTAGATGTTCTTGAATGGGATTTCAAGGTATAAAAAAGAGTCAGAGACACAAAGAGAGATAGTGAATGCACTGACAATTTTGTGGTTTAAAAAATATATATTTCAGGGAGCTCTGGTGACCTAGTGGCAAGAAGCTGCGCTGCAATCTCAAAGGCACACGGTTTGAATCCACCAGATGCTCCTCCTGTGCCAGTCAGATCTGATTTGATGGTACACAACAATAAAAATTAAAAATTTTTTTTCAAAGAATTTTCTTCTTATGTCCAATACATTCAATATGCCTTGTATACACATGACTGATTTCCATCGTCTGAGAACCCACACAATTGCATGGAATCAGTGTCTCTTCTAGCCTCACCATAGTCTGACTCTCATGAAAGACTACTCATCTTTGCCAGAAGTTCACCCAAGGGCAATGTTACAACCACATTCCCGGAAAGACCCATGATTCTTCTGGGTTTATTTTCTGGTCACTAAATTTTTCATCTTTCTCCCTCACACACGATTTCTCCTGGGAGTGCTACAGAGCAAAGATCAAGTGTCACATGGTCCTATTCTTAGCTTAGAAAGAGGGTATTAAAAAAAAAAGAAAGAAACACAAGAATGTGTGTTACCAGTGTTAATGCCTTCAGTCAGTATCCACGCCCCAGTCGTCTCTGCAGCTTTGACCAGCCCTTGGCTGAATATCTTTTTAAGTTTGGGGGGCAGTTTAAAGTTCTGGATACCCCCGTGGACAGAGATCACCAGCTTGGGCAGTTCCATCTTCCACTCTTTCAACATTAAATGTAGCAGATGATCCAACTTGGTATCATAAGAAGTTCTAATATACTGGAAAACAAGTGCATATACATGAACACAAAGTATATAAACAGGTTGAGGAACAATAAGCACACAGCAGGCAATTGAAATGGCCCATCCTTGGGAGGAAGTGACTAAGTGCTCTTTAAAAGATGGTCTTCTCAGAATGGAAATATTTACTTACAAAGGCTCCCACACCCCTTGTTAGTTCCTTCTGGGAATTAAAAGTCACTGCAGGAAGGTTTCCTCTGGTTTTCAATGTTGACCCACCACGGCTCTCCAGAGGCTCTGAGGTGAGGCAACAATACTTCAAACAACTGGCAAAAATTGCCACTTCAGGAAACCCAGTAAAAAAGAACTTTAAGAATTAGGTGAAATGGAAGTTTTTAAATAAATGCTTTGGTTTCTCCTTTACTTGACCATTTCACATTATCACACAATTTAAAGTAAGACCAAAGAACCTATGAAGATTACAGTGTAAATCTTATACTCCACATACTTATTTATTATTCCAATTACCCAACTGAAAACAACTTTTTTCTAAAATAAGTATTTTTTCTCAAATCAGTGTTTTCAACTAGTAATTGCAACCAAAAGAAACAGGAAATGAGAGAAATCTAAATCTACAGGGAGCCCCAAATTGTTTGCATTTTACCTCATATTAATTTTTCTCTTCTAGCCCATACAGTCATGGAGGGAACAATCAAATCATAGTTAGATGGCTTTGTCCCTCCTCAAGTCTATACAAATCAATAGCAAGGTTAAGTTCCATGCAGAGAAAGAAATAAAGTCAGTAAGAAACCAAGAGTCATGAAACTATGCCTAAAATAATCACAGGTGAAAATTTTCCTAGATACAAATAAGAAATACATGATATTGACTCTTCACAGAGGAAGACCTTAGAATGGCCAATGCATGAAGAAATGTTCAAAACCACTGGCAATAAGAGAGATGCAAATCAAAACCACAATGAGATACCATCTCAGCCTAGTAAAGGTGGTAAAGTTTAACAGGACAGCAACCAATAAATGCTAGAAAGGATGCAGAAATAGGTATACATTGTTGGTGGGATTGTAAAATGGTAAAACCACTCTGGAAGGAAGTTTGGCGCTTCCTCAAAAAGCTGAACATAGAAATTCTATATGACCCAGCTATTCTACTGCTTAGACTATACCCCAAAAGAATGAGAACTGAGGCACAAATGGAGACTTGTACATCAATATTTATAGCAGCATTGTTCACCATCACAAGGACATGGAGACAACCCATATGTCCAACCACAATCTAATGGATTGAGAAATTATGATACAGTCACACAATGTAATACTATGCAAGAGCAATGATTTTGTAAATTATTACCTAACTTGGGAGGGACTGGAAAACATTATGGTAGTAAACTAACTCAGTCCCATAACGACAAATACTATATGAGACCATTATTGTAGAACAATCATGAGAAGCCAAGGTGGAGGGTGGGGAGCTGAGGGGTAAGGATGGGCAGGCAAATGATGGGTTAATCATAGGGTCACACAATTTAATGGGGGGTGAAGAAAATGGGAAAGATTTAGTGTGAAAAACAATGTATATGAACTCTGTAAATCAGTATAAAAATTTTTTTAAGTTAAAAAAAAAAGCTGAACATAGAAACTCCATATGACCCAGCTACTTCACTGCTAGGAATATAGACTGAGGAAATGAGAAGTGAGACACAAATGGAGATCTGTGCACCAAGAGCAGCATTTTTCACCATCACAAAAACATGGAAACAGACCAAATGTCCAACCACAATGGAATGGATTGAGAAATTGTGGTACATTCACACAATGGAATCCTATGCATCATTCAGGAGCAATGATCTTGAACATTATGAGATCATGAGCATTATGCTGAGTGAACTAACTCTGTCTATTAATGGCAAATATGGCAAAAGATCATTACTGTAGAAATGAATAACTAGCAAAATGTCTGCGTAGATTTAAGGAGGGGAGAAGGGGAGCAGAAGGGTGAGGATGGGCAGAAAGGTAATCACATAATTTGATGGGTGAAGGGAGGAGGGGCTAACGGAAATAGTAAAGATCCAGCGGGGGATCTGGAAAGACAGGGTACTTAACAACAACAATGTTATAAAACATAATGAATGGCGGGGAGAAAGGTGCAACAATGAATGAATGGAATCCCAAAATCTCTGCAAGATGTTCATTGAAACGAAAAATAAACAACCTAAATTTAAAAAAAAAATAAAACAAATTAAAAAAAAACATAATGAATGGGAATGATTGTATGAGACACCACGTGAATGAAGAATAGTGCAAAACACAGTGTGTATGACCTTTGTAAGCAAACCAACATAAAATAAAAATTTAAAAAAGAAAAAAACAAAGATAAACCTGGGGGGGCCAAAAAAACTATCAAGTTATTATGCAGACTTATGATAGCAATTTCAGCAATGATTTATTCACCTTTAAACTTCTCAGAAAACACTAATTTTGTTTTATAAAATGTATATTCGAATTCCTGAGCATGAGGATAGGGCATGAGTGACAGAAACAGGATTTCTAAGGAAACTCAGGGTTCAAATTACTGACAGGAAATGGATCAACTAGGGAATTATTAAATTCTGAAATGCTAGAGGAAAAATAAAGAGGGGAACTTCAGGACATGAGGAGCTCTGATAGTGCTGTGGTTCAGGCAGATAGCTGCAAGCCAAAAGGCTGGCAGTTCAAACTCGTCCCTTCTCTGTGGGAGAAAGATGTGGTTCATGGAAAAATATGTGTGCTACTGTAAAGACTTACGGCCTTGGGAACACTGTTATCAAGAAACTCTACTCAGTCTTATAGTGTTACTTTGCGTTGGGATCAACTCAAGAGCAGAATGTTTGGGTTTCATACCATAATTTGTTGTTGTTATTTGCTGTCAAGTCACCTGTGACCCATAGTGACTCTACGCATGGCAGTTCTAAGGCCTGTCCTGTCCTAAGCCAGTCTCACTGACGAACACATCAACCCCCACTGCCCCAGTAACTGTATCAATCCATCTCATGCGGGGTCTTCCTTCCCTGCGCACTCACTCTACCCGTCTGAGCATGATGTCCTTCTCCAAAAATCTCGACCAAACACCCAAAATATGTGAGATGGAGCTTCAAAATCCTATCCTCCAAGGAGAAACTTGTTTTCATCTTCTCCAAGACAGACCTATTTGTTTTCTTGGTGGCCCATGGCATGTTCAAGACTTTTCTCCGGCACCACAACTTGAAGGCACTGATTATTCTGTCATTCTTAGTCAATGTCCAGTTCTCTGATGCACAGCCAGTAATTGCAAAGACCATGGCCTGGATTAGGTGTGCCTTAGTCTCTAGACTGACATCGTTGTATTTCAGTAGTCTGGAGAGGACCCTGACAGCAGATTTTCCCAGTGTAATTTGTCTTTTGATTTCCTGATAACTGATGCCAAAACTGTTGATTGTGTTGAGCAAGCTGAAATTGCTAACAACCTCAATCTCTTCTCCTTCTATCATGGTGTGCCAACTGGCCCAGTAGTAAGAATCTTTGTCTTCTTCATGTTGACCTTCAATCCATATTGAAGACCTTCTGCAGCAAGCACTTCAGGTCCTCCTCAGTTTGCGCAAGTAAGGTTGTGTCATCTGTATAATGTGGATTGTTGATGAATCTTCCTCCAATCTTGATTCCATATTCCTCCTCATAAAACTCAATTTCCCAAATTATCTGTTCAGCCTATAGATTGAAAAGATATGGAGACAGGATTCATCCCTAATGCATACCTTTCCTGATTTTGAACCGTACAGTGTTTCCTTACTCTGTTCTGATGATGGCTTCCTAGTCCAAGCATAAGTTTCACATGAGCACAATCAAGTGTTCTGGGATTACCATTCTCCTCAAGGTTAACCATAATTTATTGTGATCCACACTGTCAAATGCCTTTGTAAAGTCCATGAAACACAGATAGGCATTCCTCTGATACTCTGATTTCTGTCAAGATCCATCTGATATTGGCGATAATGTCTCTAGTGCCATGAAATCTTCTATACCCAGCTTGTATTTCTGGTAGTTCTCTGTCAATGTACTGTTCCAGTCATTTCTGGATAATCTTCAGCAAGATTTTGTTAGTGTGTGATATTAATGATATTGTTCGATAATTTCCACACTCTGTCAGGTCACCTTTTTTTGGAATGGGAATAAATATGGATCTCTCCCAGTCAGTTGGTCAGGTAGCTGTCCGCCAGATTTTTTGGCAGAAACTGGTGAGCACATCCAGGGCAGCATCTGTTTGTTGAAATATGTCACCTGGTATTCCATCAATTCCTGGGGGTTTCTTTTTTGCCAATTCCTTCAGAGCAGCTTGAACGTCCTCTTTCATCACCATTGCCTCTTGATCATATGTTTACATTGCTCTAAATAATAAACAGGTAACTCGAGTGGTGTAGCCCATAAGACTCCACTGCTAAAAATCCACCAGAAGCAATAAAAGAGAAAAATATGCAGTCTCAACCCATGACACTTATAGCTTCAGAAACCCAACAGAGGGTCAGCATTGCGTGAGTTTTAACTCGATGGCAATGAGTTGAGTAAAAGAGTAAGCTGAAAGCAGAAAGGGAAACTGTAGTTTGGCACTATCTATACATCTTAATCAGATATGTTAAGTGTTCCTCTATTTCAACTATGTGTCCTTTAATCTTAGAAGACATTTATCACTCCTTCAGATGTAAGGGCTTGTTATTGTTGTTATGTGCCGTCGAGTCACCTGCGACTCATAGCAACCTTATGTACAACAGCCCTAAACTCTGCTCTGTCCTGTGCCAATCGCACTGTCTCTGACACTCTCATCCCGATAACCCCAGTCACTGAATCAATCCACTTCATAGAGGGCCTTCCCCTCCTGTGCTGTCCCTCCACCCTACCAAGCATGATGTCCTTCTCCAAGGACCAGTCTCTCCTTACAACATGTCCAAAGTATGTTAGACAGAGCTTCAGAA